AAGCATCGCTTGAGAATAACCCATGTACAGCTGCCACTTGAGAACCTGGGCTTAAGGTTCAATTGCTTTAGTTTTCCCATTTCTAAAATAGCCCAAGCGGTAACAATCTGACATAGGCACAATGAAATGCTGTTGCCTAGGGTTTAGTGGCTATTCCAGTGATGCAGCAAAGAGATACCGGATAAAATACTTTCAGATGCTCAGGTAGTGGTTGGTAAAGAAATGCTAAATCAGTTTCCTGGTGTGTCACATCACGAGTGTAAGTCAGACTAAGAAATGAAGTAGGAAAAATCAATCCCCTGTATCCTCTAGCAGCTGGTGGGGCTTTTGTAAGGCTCCCAAGTATCCAAGTATTCGGCCTTCCTGTGACATCCTACAGCAGCAGTGTCATGTCAGCTGCTATTAGTTAACCTGGGCAGATCTTGCATCTCTCAGCAGTGCTGTCACACGCCAGCCTCCAAAAGTCTTTAATAGCTTGAATTAGTCGAAATGGTTTAGTGAAAACTGGTATTTCAGGGGGAAAGTCAATCTGCAAATCCTAGGTGCAGAGAGATGATCTTTTTCTTCATTGTTTGCACAAAAACAGCTCTTGAGATCCTGCAGTAATGATTCTTACCCAATTTAGGCACAGCTGTAGCACAGTACATATCTTGCGGATAAGTGGATGCTGACACTAGATTTTGATACATCAGAAATTATAAGAAACTATAAGATCTTGGGCAATTTCCCTTGCTTCCAGAGATCAGCAACTTTGTAGAATAAAAAGCAAAGAGTAAAACCCAAAATATTTGGAACCACACATAAAATGCTGTCAATGCCATGTTATTCCGCCATAAGCACCGTGAGGATTAAAGCCATTTACATGGTTTTGTGCCATTTTTTTATTTGGAAGATAACTGAGTCCTTGAGATGAACTTGCTGTAGATTCAGTGCTAATCTCCATTTCCTTAATTATTGCCAAGTTTCAGGAAACAGTAATAAAGTTACAGGTTAGGGTCGGTCTGTCCTGCAGGGTGGTGGTTGGGAGCCGCCCCAGTGCCGGGGCAGCCTCCCCAGCGTGTTCCTCCTTCCACAGGCAGCCGGTGTGGGTGGTGGGCAGAGGGAGGAATGCTTATCAGAAGTGTTCATTTAATTTTCTAGTGTTTTTAGGTGGATGTCTTATTCCAGCTCCATACTACGGTGATGTAAATTCCAAAATGTGGCTGGATGTCGGAACACAGCCTGTTCACGTGCATTCTCGGGTGAGGTGAAGCTTGAGCCATTCACACACATTAACAAACGTTTCACAGGGAACAGTCCAAGAAACCTGAAAGTGCAAATCGAGGCCAAGTGAAGAGGTGGGACCCGTGAAGAGCTGCTCGATGCAGCCCATCCCTTTCTCAGACTGCAGCATGGCACTAGGCTGCTGCCATCAGATGTGCAGGATTGTGCCCCTCCTGTGCACACTGACAGGCTGGATTATAATTTGTCAGCTCTGTCACTCCTACTATGAGTAAATTTGGTTTGCTAATGTTTCCCGTTAGGCATTGCAAGATGTTTCTGCCACATAAGTTGCGTAACACTAGTTTCCCCTTGGAAAGCTCAGTCTTTTTATTCTTGCTGATTTTTTTCTTCTGTAGGTGACTGATGAAGAAAGACACCCTTTTCAGATAACAGTTGAAAAATTAGAAGCTGTGTCACAGAGAGCTAAAAGCAGGTATCAATAACACTGACCTCAGATTTTCATCCTTTCCTTGTTATTTTGTAAGCAGCATGTGTTCTCAGCATTGAAGCACTTGTATGGTTTCATCTCTGCGGATTTTCAGTTTATGACTCAGGTGGGTCCAACTCTGGCAACATGAGCTGATTTTATGATGTGGGCACTGTAACAAAATGCAGAGAAACTCCATGACTGTATTTTATGAAGAACAGACCTTAAATTGTTTTTCAAGATCGAGTTTCTTTCTCTGTAGATTGTAATGGAATTCAAAGTGTTGTAAAAAGATTTTGATCTGACCTTCAGAAGAGAAACTATGCTACTGTAACAATCTACTCAGATAATTAAACAAACACTTCTAATGTGATTTTGAAGAGGGTTCTTCTTAGTTTCAACTAACAAGAAATTGCCAACAAACAAAAAATTACAAATGTAACTTTTCCAGAGTTTAGTAAACTTAATTAGTTAAAAATACTTAGCATGATTAGTGATTCTATTCTGACTGGGACTGCATAAATGAGGACAGTATTGCTTGTCACGTATATTTTTTTTTCCACATTCCTGTGGAAAATGTCTGTATTTTATACTGCCTTTCTTCCCCGTGGAAATGCTTGGTTTTGTAAATGTCCACAAAATAGTGCTCACTAACTTGTTTCCTAATTTTATTGTCTTGATATTCATAATTCACTCGGTGGAAAATTATAAATTCACTCACACTTAAGTGTTTGTGCTCTTCCTTGAGAAGATCCAACAGTGGCAACACAGGCAAAACAGTAAAAGAGCACAGTAAAACATTTTACCAAAGATGTGATGATTATGGTAATGATGTTTCAAAACATGAAGTGAGAGGGACTTCTTGTGTCCTCTTCCAGGATAGAAAACGAGGTTTAACAATAGACAAAGCATATTGTTACAAGGAAGGTCACTTAGAAAGCTCAGTTTCAAGGAAGATGACATAAAAAAAGTGGGTATTTTGGATACACACAAATGTGTGCCTAACATTTTTTTTTTTGTTTTTAGATATATTGAAGCTGTCCTAGTTACCTAATTGCTTGATCAGCATGGTGCTGTGTTTAGACACCATCTGTCTGTGTCTTTGCCAGCCCATGGGAGCCTGAGCATTCAGACCCTTCCTACTTTATCCTAGCAGAGGGAGGCAGCCCACATCCCTGCTGCGTCACTGTGGCTGTCAGGATGGATCACAGACCACATTAACTCTTTAGAGATCTGCATGTGTTTGTCAGCCTTCTGGAGCTGAAAATGTTCCCGTGAATAATATTATAGACAGCTTCTTTGAGTATGTGTAATATCATAAATAGCTGGAGGAACTAGGCTAGAAAAGCAATTAAGAAAGTGCCATCCCAGAGCAGCTGAACCTATAAACATTCAGTAAAACCTCAGTCAGAATCAAAGACAATACACTGAAAGTTCACTGCTTGTGAGGGTCTTGCTCATGGTACCACTGACATTCAGAGACATTGCACTTCCCTTGTGGAAGGGAAAGTTGAATGTCAGGGCTTCCTCATCGCTGAACTTTTATTTTCTGGAGTTCCTTGGGAGTTGGTCTTTGCAAATAATCTGATTTGGAGGAGTCTTGGGTGGAGTGAGAATTTGCATTGGGTGAGGTTTTCTAAACATTAAAAATGCAGAAATGAAACATAATTATTTAATTGCAAGTTTATCCCAAGCATGAAGTAATAATGCAATTCCCCCTGTTTCAGCATTTAGTCTCAAAAGCTTGTGCTATCATTGTGCATATTACTATATATTATGAACTGTATATTTTAATGAGAATACTGAGAGTACTGAATCAGGTAATACTCTAATTCTGTTAAACTTCTGTATCTGGCAAAATGTTTTTTATATTCATGAGCTCTCTCTAGACATACACAACTCTCAAACATTGTATACATCTTTTTGTATATCAAGTGAGTATATCAAGCTAAGTGAGTCCTTTCAGAGGAAAGACTTGCCCTCAGCTCCCTTTCAGATTATTTCTGTGTGCCTGTATTGACTGGATAGCATTTTCATATATTAACTATAAAAACCCCTTGAGATCTGTAATGTATACTCAATTGACAGCATTGTATGGGGACTTTTTTGCTTTGTTTTTGGTATTTGTTGGGGTGGTTTTTTTAAGTATTTGCAGAATACTTAAATATTTTGCATTAATTCATTGTTTGCTCAATTATTTGTTTGGTGAGAGAAAACGGGAACTGAAAAATTAACAGACTGCTGCTATAGAGGCACAGTAGGATTGTCTCGCTGTGGATCCCCATACTTTTTGTAAATACTTTTGTCCAGTATTTATATATATCAGTAAGATCCCCCCGAGTCACCTCTGTTTCATGCTGAACAGTCCCAGCTCTCACCCTCTCCTTGTATTTCAGATGCTCCAGTCCCTTAATAGTTGTTGAGACCCTTCTCTGGACTTGTTCCAGTATGTCCAAGTTCTGCAGAGCCTGGAACCTGTGCCCCAGCACCGTGGATGTGTCACACTAGTGCTGTGTAGAGAGACCTGTGGTGTTTAACATCCTCACCTCATCTTGATAGGGAGTGAACAATGAAACAACAAACCCCCCCTAATGAGTAAGCTTTTCAGGCCTGTAAAAACAAGGGTTGGTTGTAAAATACTACAGAAGACCTTCACAAAACTTGCTGACTGCACTTGGCAGATGAAATTTCCTGTTAGATCAAAGCAAATTAAAAATATTATAGGGTCTAATGCTCTTTACTCTTCAGTGATAATCCCCCATGAAACGTGAGCCTCTTGTTAAAAAGAATGTAAATGTTAGAAATTATAAAAAAAATAAATAGAAAATACTTCAGGAAGTATTCTGTTAAAAAAAAAAAACCAACCTTGTTGTTCTAGCATGTGTGCTGTTGAAGGTTATGTACTGTTTATGTCCCACTGCATCGAAAAGGATACAGCAGAACTGGAAAAGTCGCTTTAGTCTGCCGAGGAGTCCTAAACATGCACCTCTGAAATGTGTTTCAGGCAGTAATACAGTGATCCCCAGGGTCTTAATACCCTTCCTGAGGCATCAGAAGCTGGGATTTGGCCATTGCTGGAGGTGGACTCCTACAGAGAGTTTAGGTTTGCCCCAATACATCTGTTCATACATTAACTCAAAACTTCTGCCTCCGTTCCGAGTCGGTCTGACCAAGAAGCAGATGGTCAGTGCAGACAGATCAACAGAGGCATTGAGAATGGCAACAAACAGGTGCCACTCCTTTATGGCAGTAATGTGATTTTCTGGTTTTTGTTTTGTCTTGTTAAAAGATCTGTGAAAGAGATTTCCCCCAGAACTTGCACTGGGTTTTACCCTAATTTTCCATAAGAGACATATAAGGCTTTTTTCTGCCTTGAAGTACTACCGTGAGTTGGTCAAAAATATTGTTGGTAACTAAAAGTTGAGGTGAATATTTCAGTTTCTTTTCTGATGGTCTCAACTTATTCAGGGTGAGCTGCTAGTCATGCCAAACAGGTTAAGCTTGATCAGAAAGCCTACCGAAGCAGTATATTGTGATGTGTTCCTGTCATTGTCCCACAGTATTTGTTTGCCTCAGATGTATTTGTATAGCCTTACATGGGTATGTTAAGTTTCAGCATACCATTTGACTTACCAAGAGAGCAATTAAGCCCTAGTCAGGCTCTGCAGACTAATCAGGCATGAAGCGATTGCTTTTGGTTTTGTTTTGGCCAACAATAAAATGCCAAATCTCCTTCCATTTCCTCCACAGTTTGCAGACAACTTCTCATGAAGAAGGGACAGGTCTGTTACCTTGCCTAGCAGCAATCTGTTACAAAGCACTTCAGAAACAGAGCTCTAAAGAAGCAGGAAGAGCGAAACAGAAGTTATCAGGATCAGCACCATGGAGAACTGTTGATTCTCCTGACACAAAAGGCTTTGCTTTCTCACACTCTTTATGGCCATCTCACTCTTGGTTGTATGAGAAGATGAACACAGGTAAGATTTTCAATATGCTTTATTACCTTTTATTTGCTTATAACCTTTGATGATGTTCTGTTGAATGTGTATTTAATTTTTAAACACATCATGACTATTTCGTGCAGTCAGACTTCACAGCTGGCTTATGCACCCAGCACTGAACCAATAGGTGCACGGAGATCTCACAGGCTTTGTTTTTTGAGCAGTATTGAACAAAGCTTTCCCTTGGCCATTCATTATGCTGTCTACAGTCGATTCTCACCTTGAAGTTCATGGTAATCAGTTCTTTTGTGACATTTTGGAAGGTGAGAAACACGTGATAAAAACAACTTGGCGCAAAACAACCATCAGTGAAATAGAAGATGGGCTAGCAAGATCCCGGGGAAACAGGCATCCCATCAGAAGACCAAACAAGGAAGATCTCCTGGAATTCTACCTCCGTAGGCAGGATGACATCTTCACTCTGCCATGTCCCAGCTCCTTGAGGAGAGGTAACTGGAAAATTACCTATGTGGATTCCCACAATTTGGGAAATAGATACTCTTAAGAAGGGGCACACCGATTAAAAGGACAGGTTATCTTTGCTTCAATTCCTAATGGCCTACCGAAATCTAGGCTTGGGAGAGGAGGGGTTCCCAAATTCTGCTTACATAATTCAAAAATTCATTGCCACAAGCAGCCTTACCATATGATTTTATCTTAATGTGACCTAATCAGAAAGAAAGGGAACATCAATTGTGTAGTATACTACATACATTGAAAAGGATTATCAGAGTTTGACCTTCTGAAGACAAAAATAAACATTCCTACTGAAGTTCCCTAGAGAAAGATTTATGTTAAGAAAAAAAAAATAGCTTGTGTGTGTTTTGAACCTGGATCAGCTGACAGGGCTGGGTTACAGCAAAGTCCATGACACCAAAAAAGGCAATGAGGTCTTCAGAAGGAAGTGCACACAAGGACCATGAACACAGATTGTGTAGGAGGACAGCAGGAACTGTTGTCCTCCAAAGAAGGCAACTTTGCCTCTAAACTGCTTCATGAGAAAAGAGGAACACTCCTGCTCTGTTCTCCCTAGATGAAGGAGTTCAGAAGATTCTGTAGGAGCCCAAATTGCCAAATGTAAGCAAACAGATGCCTGGGTTTACTGTTCTGGGTCAGCTACAGGGGCAATGCCCAGCAGAGAATAATCTTGGTATTTTCAGGTAAAACCAACCTTTCTATCTGCAACTAGATTCCAGTTCTACTTCTGTTTTGTTAAACAGACATCGAAGTACTTCAGTGTTTCATGAAGATGCACGAACCACCTGGAGATGTCATCCGGGAAGAAGTTGTTATTGAGACTGAAGTTACTGAAATAGAGAAGAAAAATAATCTCACTGAAGCTGCGAACCAAATGCAAGAATAACAAATCACCAGCTAGAAGAGCTGTAAAAAAAAAAATAAAAGGCAATTTTCCAGATTGTGAGTATGACTGTGTGGGTGACACAGTTGCCAAATACAAAATTCTGTTGTCAATGATCACAAGACTCTGGTGGGGGGAACACAAAAATAACTATTAACAACTATTAACTATTGTAAAAGTATTTCTGCTTGAACATAATGCTCATCTATAATTTTGGAGAGATGTACTCTATTAGCTAAGAGATGTACCAATTCTATCTGTGTGAAAATAGAATAAAATTATGATTTAAAAAAATTATTTAAAAAAAAATTATCTTTGTAACTCAGTAATTGTAAAGAGCAGTTGAAACTACAATACTATATTAATATTTTTGTTCTCAGTTCTGTAAGACCATTTAGGGTGTTTGTTTATCATAACATACAATATCTTGTCAATCACAATAAACTGTGCTCTTTGCTTCTTGTATAATATTCATAAGGCTGCATTACCTCAAAGCAAGGCGATTGGATTGGATTGGATACCTGTGGCTAAGTCCAAACCATGGGGGTCAGTTCCTGGGTTTTGTGTGTATCCAAACTTTGCCAGGGTGACTGAGATGACTGTCATGTAGGACAGCAGAGCAGCAAGAGGGGAACCCTTGCCTCTTTTCAGAAGGAGCCCAAGGAGCCACATGCTTATTTATCCAGTTTGCATCCCTTTTTGCCAGAGAAGAATAGCATTCTGCTCCCAACAAAGCCATTGCCCAAATGCAAACTGCTCTCCACTATTGTTTTGGTAAAGTTCAGGTGAAAGGGTGGGCCTCTCCTCCCACAAGTTTCCTGCAGGCAGAAGGAATTGCAGTGTTATGCCTCAGGGCACAGGGCACATGTACTATGCATTGCTCAGTAATTACTGTATTACAGTAATATTACAGTACTATATTACTATATAAACTCTGTGGATTTCAGCTCTTAGCTACATGTTCCATCTTAAGAACTAAAATGCCTTAATGAAAATAACTGCTGGCTGGCCACAAAGCTCTGAAGTTCAACACAAGGCCATTAGTTCAGTAGTAGTGTATCCACTTACAATCCAGGGATGTTTGAAACAGAGTTTGAAACCCACCTACATTTTGGCATGGGGGGGATGCCAAACAAGGAAGGAGAGAGAAATGAGTGACCTGCTCAGCTTCTTCAGTTGCAGGACATCAAATCCTTTCCAATGGGATACTGATATCCCTTCTGCTGTTGAGTCCATTTTGCAGGTCTTCCTTTTGTTGTTTGTTGAGAAATTTTCAGCGAGAGACATTGCTCTCAGAGGTCCCATTCTTCAGCTATGTCCATCCCTAAGATGCTGTCTGGAGAGTCAGTCATTTCCCCATGTTACTGGGTGTTGTTCTGAACACAAGAAAAAACAGGACAGTGCAACCATTCAAACACCTACAAATAAAGTTAAAATGCTTTAGTAACAGTCACTCCTTGCGGCTCCACCTTCTTTAGAGATTTTATCACCATAATTTTTGCCTATTTGGATTATTTTTTTACATTCCCCAGTATAATAAAAAACTAAAATAAAAATGTGTTGTGTTTACTAAGGGAAGTTGTTCCATAGCTCTCTGAAAAAAAAAAAATTTCTTTTTATAGCTGGAAGTATAATACTTGAATCATCAGCAGCACTAAATTTAAGAAAGGTGTATTCTGATTAAAAATTTTTCCTTTTACATTACAATTTATTGATAAATAAGACAAATGGCAAGTACTTTTCATGTGGTGTAGCTCAAAAAAACAAAACTTCAAGGTGGTGTTAGGTCAAGGTGGTGTTGGACTTGATGACCTCAGAGGTCTTTTCCAACCTGATTCTGTGAATGAAAGCATTTTCTTCCCTCTCCCTATGAGGATGTGACAAGGAAAGCACCTGAGCTTCATTGGACTCAATGATCTTAAAGGTATTTTCCAAAACCTAAATAAATCAGGTAAGATAAGATTCCAGCCTAGCTAAGACAGTCCACAGAAGAGCAAAGGTCCCTGCAGTATGCCAAGGCAGCACAGGGACTTTACAGTGAAAACCCTGTGGACTGCAGAGAAAGAAAGGGAAACACCTGAGTGGAGTTACTCTGGTCACTCTGGTTACTACAAATATCTTTTAAGAGTTGTTATTCTTACCTTCTTATAGCTATTAATTTAATAAAGAAAGTCAAATCAGAAAAAAAATCTAGAGGAAGTGAAAGGAGAGAAGGGAGAGGAAGGTCTGGGATTAATCACTGCAACACACCGAACATGGGCGTACATCTCATCTTTGTAAGAAATTGAAGATTAAGATTTAACTCTGTATTAGCAATACACTGCTAAATTCTGAACATTTTGAACTACTGACAGTAAAGTAGCACCTACTCCCTTAAGGTTGACTGTTCTTCCTTGTATTTGAAGAGGGCATAACAGAGGCTGCAGGCTGAAACTGTATCTGGTTCCTGCTCTCATGAGTCTGTACTAAAAGTTAAAACATAAGCCCAGTGCAACTTTTACAGGCTTTCATTTGGGGCTTCTGGGTGCTAAGGTCACATATGTTCATAAAAAGAAAGCAAAAAACTGGAGAGATCTGTACATTTAAATTTAAGACCACTTATAGCTATTATCCTTCACAGGCAGCAGGAACCACTAAGCCCTGGGAATTTAGGCCATACAAGCACATCTCATACTGTTTGGAGCTGACTGGTTTGTAAAAAGTTTAGGGCAGAAAACTTTAGCATTAGTATGTGTCATTTCTCCTGTTCTGCTATTTACATATTTTCATTGGTATACTGAGACTGTCAATACATAAAATTAGTTTTTATTTCCCTTAGCAAATTTTTTTTCATTTTAATTGCATGAGGATTTTTTTAGTCATCATTAATTGGAAAGATTGAAAAAACATTTTAAAATCAATTTTAAGAGACCAAGTTAACATGCATACAAATATTAACAATCTGAAACTCAAATCATACCTCAGTGTTGGCTTGCTCAGGAAATGCAGATACATTCCTGCCATGAGGATGCCAGGATGGCAAAGCCAAATAACAATAGTTATAAAATTTGCATCCAACTTTCTAAGAAACTTATGCCCATATATAAGTAAAGTTTAGCAGAAAGCTACATACATTACATTTCAGACTCAGAGAAACAAAATTCCCTTAAAAGGTGACTGTTGAACACAAGTCCCTTCTTGTGGATGAGAGGTTTCAGTCTGGAGAAATCCAGATAATCCCCGTTACAGAAAATCATTACCTGCATCACTGACTATGTTTAGTGTTTATCCGAAGCTAGTCTTAAATTATTTAACAAGTAAATATAAACCGCAGTCACAGTTAACTGAATTAAACAAGTATATAAAGTGCTGGATGATTATGTCTTTTAACTCCTTTTCTGGAAAATAATTTAGAAAGTAAGAAAACTAAAGGCAACTATCAGAAGCCAAAAGATGACGTGAAACTTATGGGTTTGTCCCAAAATGAGCAATAATGTCTGAAGAACAGAGCACTGAAATGATGCATAAACTGGAATGGAAACTTCCACTTGAAAGATATATTGTAAATAAACCAATCCTGTAATCCATTAAGTAAAATGGCACATTTTATAATTTTTAAAAAACTCTTGTATGAGGCTCACAGGCCTGAGAATACACACAAAATAACTTGTCCAAAGTATTCCTTAAAAATAATTATAAATTATTTGTAACAGTTTCTTTAATGGAGATTGCAGGAGTAGGTCCCACATGAGTCCATATATAGCCCTTCTCTGGCCTTGTAGGAACGGTAGGGAAGGGAGATGATCGAGATTTGAAATATTCCGAAGGCGCGTGACAAACAAATTCTAAATATTCCATTTTCCTTGGGAGATCTTCTTCTGGTCCTAGGAAAGAAAATAAATCATCAAAGAAAAAATTTAAAGGCATAAAGTTGGAGCATGCAGGACTCAAAAATATGCAACAACAGCATTTAGAGGATTTGCCTTTGCAGTCAATGACTTTCCTGTCCAAGTAGCCTAAAATACTAGGCAAGAAACAGCTACCTCTATTTTTGCTTGGCTGGCCTTTTTCCCCCCCTTCATTTGAAGCATTCAGTTATTTATGTCAAGCACTGTAGTTATTTGGAATATATGCTATCTGTGGCCTGCCTGTCAAAGGGACTTTTCTGAATTATTAATAATTTTCTCACTGTTAGCAAAACACTCTCTATGCCAGTGCTTGCACACAGTGCATTTTAAATACCCAGGATAAAGATCAGGTAATTAAGGTCACTTTAAAAGAAACAAGCTTGGATTGGTATATCAGAATCAAAGTTACTACAGTATAAACCTATCTATAGAGTAATAATTTGATCTTTAAAGTTCCAAAAGTGTAACTGCGCCCATGAGCACACTCAGATAATCACAATACAAGATAGTCACTCACTGCAGTAGTGCTAATCATATTATACACACAAGATAAATGCTATTACAGTAAATGTTTACAGGATTAGGGTCTAAAATGTGGAACTTGCACAAATGAAATGAGAAGTTATAAAGTTCATTTAAAAGATACATTTCTGCATTAGTCTAGGCACATACAGGTACTTGTGTAAAGTGAAGGCTTAGAAATTACCTATGATATAGGATGCTGGGTCAAAACAGTCCTTGGGGCTGGTTTGTGTAGGAATGAGCCAGGTTAGTGCAGCACTCTTTTCACAGTATTGGTCCTGAATAAACCCGCGGATCTGAGCATAGTATGTTTTCCCATCCTGCTCATCAACCACTGAGACAACATCTCCAATTTGATAGTATACACCCTAGAAGACACACAAATTACACTGAAATCAAACAATCTGATTTTGTCAGCTTCACTCTGTGATTCTGATTCATATTTTAAGTATCGATACCTTAAATTTCATCTCAAATTACACCAGTCTTGAAAGGCAGCTTTAATTCAGCCACATGCAAAAGAATGGTGGCCTAAGAAAGAGAGCTGTTTCACCTAACCAGTCATCAGCACTGCTTGTGCAGTCCCCCAGTATCCAGGAGTTGGACCGCAGAGCAGAGATGGTCTCATTCAGTCAAAAGCAGAGGAGTGCAACACCACCTTCCAGGAAAAGTAACTGTAGTGGTTTCCCTGTGTGTGCAGGGGAAGCAGCTTTCTGTGTATGAAGAAGTTCACTCATTTGAGTGCAGCAGAGTTCCAAAACACAGATCCACCTCCTGCCATTTCCCACGGTGCTCTCTAAGACTTGAGGCTGCGCATCAGAGGCAACTCACTGCGAGCTGCAGCGGCGTCGCAGAGCCCAGAGCAGCCCCTGCACTGCCAAGGTGAGTTAGTCAGTCAAGAATCATCCAGGAGGGTTTGATTTTTAAAACAGATAAAGAACACAAAAACCCCAAACAATCCCCTTAACAACAACACAGCAAAGTACCAAACCAGCAACATTTTGCATATGGAGGCTAAGGAGAAGTTTTGTTATAATTCTTAGGAATTTCTGCTAGAAACACACAAGTCAGTAATTCTTTTCCGAACTAGTCAACAGCAAACAGATTCATCTGGGATGGCAGGTGTGAAGCATCAGGTCCTTAGAGAATATAGAGAATCTCAGTCCACCATTGGGTGTGCAGTCTTCCACTGACTATCCT